TGTGGCCTGCACTTTAAACTGAAACGTGTTTAACTCCTCATAGTTAAAAGACTGCAGGCTGACTATATCTCCAGTCTCTGAGTTGATGTTAACCATTGAAGCTATCTGTGTGGTCTTCGGAGAACTGTTTATTAAGTGGTATCTTGCTTTTGCATTTTCATTTAAGTCTGAATCTAATGTCGTAAGCACATGAATTGTAGTTCCAATTGGGCTATTCTCTTTCACGTAAACATTAATCAGAGGCTCCAGGAATCGAGGAGGGTTGTCATTAACATCAGACACTTGAACTGTAATGACACTTTTGCTCGACAGAGAGGGAGTTCCTTCGTCTGTGGCTGTTATTGATACATTAAACTGGGAAACCCTCTCTCTGTCCAGAGGCCCGTCAACCAACAAAGAATAATAATTTTTATAGTTAGATTTTAATTTAAATGGCACAGGACCTGTGATTTTAAGGTTTGTGAGACCATTTTTTCCACCATCTTTATCAGTGATAGTCACCATCGCAACAGCTGTGCCTATTTCAGCATCCTCTTTCACTGGACTCATAAGTGACGAGACCGAGATTTCCGGAGCATTGTCATTGACATCAATAACTTCGACTAAAACCTTGCTATGTGCACTGCGAGGAGGATTGCCTTTGTCTCGTGCTTGGACACGAATCTCGTATGCCTTATTTTCTTCAAAATCAATATTGCCTTTTACAATGATTTCCCCACTATCAGCATTCAGGTCAAATATTTCATCAAGGTTTAAACGCCCCCCCTCTGTGAAAGAGTACACAATTTGACCATTTATGCTGTCATCGAAATCAGTAGCTGTCAATGTCAATAACGTTGTGCCAACATTTGCATTTTCCACAACTTGTACTTTGTAAAGAGTTTTGCTGAACAGCGGAGAATTGTCATTTGCATCCAGTACATTAACGTGTATCTGTAAAGAGCCCGTTTTGGGAGGTTTCCCTCCATCAAACGCTGTCAGTGTGAGTTCAATAACAGCCTCTTTTTCTCGATCTAATGCTTTCTGCAGCACTAACTCAGCAGACACACTCTGGTCACCAATGCTCTGTATATCTAAAGAGAAATAATCATTCGGGTTCAATTTGTACGTCTTCACTGAGTTTGCACCTACGTCTGCATCATGAGCTATCGGCAGTGGATGCCTTTCTCCGACATATGAAGACTCCGACATATCAATTGTTGTTATTTCTTCCAGAAAAGACGGAGCATTGTCGTTAATATCATTAATAACAATTTCAATTCGATGGAGGCTGCGAGGGTTACTCAATACGGCCTCTATATTCAAATAGCACTTTACCGTATTAGAACAAAGCTCCTCCCGATCAATCCTCTCGCTAACAAAAAGTACTCCAGATTCACGATTTATGTCAAAATAACGTTTGCTATATTCAGAGGTAATCTGAAGACCCGTGGAATGAAGCTGCTGCACATTGAGGTCTAAATCCTTAGCGAGATTTCCCACCGATGTCCCTTTGTCCACCTCCTCTGAAACGGAATAGGTTATCTGAGCCACGGACCAGTCGCAGAGACAAAGCAGAGTAAAAAACAGACCCAATATATTCTCCCATTGTTCCCGAGTAGCCATCGCTCTGTAGGCAAAAGCAACAAATCCTGGTTTATTCCTTTTGTCCTCTTTAGGAAAAGTGAAAAATATAGCCTTTTTATATATCCATTCTCGCTTAATGTCCTCTTCCTCTTACGGGCTTTACTCGTCTGGACGCAATGTTCACAAAGCACTGCCAGATGATGACGTTGTATTTTCTGTCATAAATAGAGGAGGGGTTTATAAACGGTGAACACACGAATATAGCATGGTCTCTAGCGACATCTCGTGAAAATGTTTTATAGGGAAATGCGTCCAAAACATAAGTAGACATGTTTCATGTAAGGTAAAGTAAACAGGATGCATGAGAAAAAGTGTGCTGAGAAAAATGCTAAAATGTAGGTAATACTTTATGGTCAGGGTACATGAATCATCATGATTTCATGCATGAAAAAGCATGAATCCATTCATGTAATAGTTCATGAACTATCAGTAATGTATAAGGATTAATAGTATCTCATGCATGACTTAATGCAGGAACAATACCTTAATTAATGCCTCAACTAAGGTATCTCAATCATCATGACTTCTGAGTTATTAATGATGTTCATGTCTTCTTCATATAGATCTGCAGTTAAAGTGACAGGCCAACAAACTGACCAGTCACAGCAATTCCAAGTGTTGTAATCATGATTAACTAAGTGTGACAGGAGCTCTTCTCCCTCCTTACCGCTATACGGCACTGTGCCATGCGCCTCCGCGCATTTGTCACTATGGGCGGCGCCGGTAGTATAAATACAGGGGTGTGGCGTAGCTCGTGACTCACCTGTCAACTCCTTCGCTGGTGGCTGGAGCACGGCGTGGCCGAAATTAATTGTTTGGCGTGGCAGCCGTTTCGCAACAGTTGCATCCGTACAGCGCATCTGACTGCCGGTGCGGTGGCGAAGAAATTGCTTCGCTGAAGACTCCCCTGGGCGCAGTGTTGTTATCACCTGGTGAGTTGCCGTTGTCTGCCTCCCTTTGTCACCTGACACTTGGCTCCTGGCTTATTTTATTATTTTTTATTGCTGTAGCGGGATTTTGCCATGGCCTGTGCGCCTCTCTCCCCTGACGGCTCGGGTGCTGTGCTGTGGCTCAATAGATTGTATGTATGGGAACCTGTACATTCAGTTATTGACATCCATGTGTTTATTTGGCCTCTAAATAATATTATATGTACCTGTGCCCTTTTCAGGGGTGCTATTAATTGTTAGGTCCACCTTCGGACAACTGGTCCTGCTGTTTTGGGTCTTTCCAGTGACTCACTGATGGGATAAACTTGCCGTTGCTTTGCGAGCTCCGTGGCTGGTGACGTGCCCCCTCCCCCCCTTCTGGACTCTGAAGCGGTTCGGGCTCTCCGGGAACTCGCCGACCAATTCTCACGGATAAGCTACAACTCACTGTTTAATTTAAGAAACTGTTATCTTGGTTTTGTTATTTTGTTTTGTTAATTTAGTTTATAGTGTTTTCCTTGTTTAACATTGACCATTGCGTACAGACTGTATTTGGATAAGTTAATTAATTTGGTTGTATTTGTTTGATTATTTATTTAGTAGTTTATTTAAGTGTAATACTGTGTGGAGGTTTTAACCGTCTTCCTCGTGTTAGACAGGTGCTGTGGGCCTGAGGCGGCAACCCCAGTCCCTGGTGCTGGTGTTCTTCACGAGTCCTATTGTTTGGTTTGCGGTATCACGGGTGGTTTTGAGATGGGCCCTTCCCCCTTTTTATTTATTGCCGCCTGGTAAGCCCC